TTGAAAATGCAATTTAGTGCTATAATAATGAGCCTTAAGTTAGCCCTATATTCCAAAGTAGACCTTCCTATGAGTGCTCCTTCATTGTGTGGACAAACTGATATCAAGTAAAAATTGAATTTTTGCAAATATTTGGCGAAATTATGCCGGCATTAAATTCGTCAATAGAGCATTGCGGAGCCTTAAAAAAGCCCTAAATTTTGACCTATAGTAGACCTTCCTAGGAGTATTCCTTCATTGTGTGGACAAACTGATATCAAGTAAAAATTAAATTTTTGCAAATATTTGGCGAAATTATGCCGGCATTAAATTCGTCAATAGAGCATTGAGGAGCCTTAAAAAAAGCCCTAAATTTTGATCCACAGTAGACCTTTCTACGAGTGTTCCTTCATGATGTGGACAAACTGAGATAACGTAAAAATTGAATTTTTGCAAATAATTCGCGAAATAATGCCGGCATTAAATTCTACAATAGAGCATTCAAGAGCCTTAAAAAAGCCCTAAATTTTGACCTATAGTAGGCCTTCCTATGAGTGCTCCTTCATTGTGTGGACAAGCCACCTTAATGTTAAGCTAACTTGTCCACAAGTTTTTTAAAGAAAATGCCGAGCATTAAATTCGGCATTAGGGCATTAAATTAGCCTTAAATTAGCCCTTAATTTTCAAATAAGTTTTATCCAGATCGGACAATGTGGACAAGCCAGGTTAACGGACCTGATAAAAGCGGAGGACAATTTATAATACCATTGATAATTTTGAACATGAATAACAAATCAGTAAATAAGAATCTGTCCCTCAATAGAGGGATGTCCAATATACGTCTTAATTCAGTGTAATCATGACTATATCTATCATATGGTATCCCCCTTCTTCTAGCAACAAATCGCATGAATTTGTTTTGAACACGTTCAAGAACAATTATTAGATATTCCTGATAAGGTGACCAAATTAGCGAAGCAAATTCAATAATTGGTCTAACCAATGAAAAGTATAATACTTTCAACGCCAAGACATTTTTGAACCGCGAAGCGTTTCTGGTGACAAAGCCCAAAACTCTAGTCGCATTATTAACAACATTTAAGATATGTGATCTAAAATCCAACTTTGAGTCTAGTGTAACTCCAAGGTCTCGGATCATGGACACTCTTGAAAGAATTTCACCATCAATAACATATTGATACTGTTTAAATTCTCTCAGTCTGCTGAATGAGACTATATTAGATTTTTTTATATTAACAAAACTCATGTTCAACACGTACCGATGAATATCTATCAGCAAGATAACTCTTAATCCAGATAATTAAATCCACTGAAAATCCTAAAGCCTCTAGCTTTGACACCAGAATCGCATGATCAACCTTATCAAAAGCTTTCGCAAAATCAGTATAAATCACATCCACTTGAAGACTTTTTCCAATATGAGATGCTACAAAGTTAGTAAAAATAAAAATAAAGAAAAGAATGTTAATAATTTTTAAAAATATCTAATTTTTTTAGAGAAAAAAAAAACGAAAGAAATAGGTTTCAAAAATATTTTTTTTATACGTACATTTTTTGTTTGTTATTTTTTCGGGTTCTATAAAACTACTTTTTATATTATCTTTTAAAACGATTTGACAAACAAAAAATGTACGTATAAAAAAAATATTTTTGAAACCTATTTGTTTCGAAAATAATTCGATCGATTGATTGGATTGTTGAAATTTTTTTTTTTCTAAATATTGCTTTTAGAATTGATCAATACATAAAAAATCTAAAAAAAAATTTTGAAAAAAAAATTTTTGAAATATTTTTTTTCGTTTTCTTCTAAAACAAAGTTATTTTTCTTGCAAATTATTAACATTCTTTATTTTTTGCGCAATTTTCGAAAATAATGTTGAAAAGTAAAAAAATGAATCAAGGAGCAGTTAGAAACCTTTTAAATTTGATGATTTTTAGAGTTTTTAATCAAAAAAGTGAAAATATTTTTTTTCTCCTAAGAAACAAAAAAATACCAAGTGAAATTTTTATGGTATGTAGTACATATGTGTACTAATAAATCCTGAAAATTTGGGGCGAAAAAAAGGTGGCATTTTTAAGAAAAAATTTTTTTTTGTTTTTTCGAAAAATTCCATTTTTATCCTTGTTTTTTAATATTTTTTATTCGGAGCAATTTTTTTTAAAAGAGTAAAAAAAATGAAAAAAATAAGCCTAGGAGCAACAAAAAAGGTTAAAAATTACGAAAGTTATGCTTTTTTTAAGCGAAAAATGCAAAAAAATTAATTTTCTTGAAAAAATCTTTAAAAAGTCGTCAAAACTACACACAAAATCGAATCAAAATATAAAAAAAACACGTATTTCTTTATTTTTCAAGTAGAATAACATACTTTATTCTGAAATTAATTCGCAATATATCATCGGACTGCCTGCATGATTTCACATGGATTCGGTCCACTTTAAAAATAATTATTTAAAAATTTTTTTTTTTATTAATTGGTAGTTGAATTGTGGTGTTTGATAGTCAACTTTGAAGGATTGGTAATTATTAGTGAAAAAGTAAAAAACGTTTTTCAAAGTTTCCTAAAGATGTGTACATTTTTTAGTTAGTATATTTAATTATTATATGAAATTCATACATAGTATTGTAAAACATTATTTTCCCAATAAATTTACACGTGAAATAAGGAAAAAAAATTAAAAAGTTGTAAAATACAATTTGAATTTTCGCGCTAGAAGATCATGCGCATTCATATTCGCGCACTTTGATAAATGTTTTAGAAATGAAATATCTTTTATATTTTCGACTACTAAACCTCCAGAATTGACTACCAAACACCACCAAACGATACCAAATGGAATTTTTAAAAAATATTAATTTTTGCAGTGCAGGTGTGAAAATAGCAGTCAAAACTTGAAATCATTGTAATTTTTTTAATTTTGACTACCAAACCTCCAACATTTATTGATATTAAGATCCAAGTGATTAATTCTACACCATTCAGTGAGTCCATTTAAATCACGCTGAAGAAGATAGGAATCATCTTCAGAACGTATTGTTTTATAAAGTTTTAAATCGTCAGCAAAGAGAAGAATAAGAGAGAATTTAATAAAATCTTTAACATCATTAACATATAACAAAAAAAGTAAAGGACGTAAGTAAACCAGACGTCGCCGGAAATGCTCTAGAATATACGTATTTAATACGAGCAGAGTTATATCTATTCGTGAGATAACTTTTAAGAAAGGTAATCAAAATTTCAGAAAAACCCATTGTTTTTAGTTTAGCTAAAAGTATATTGTGGTCATCTCTATCAAAAGCTTTAGCAAAGTCTGTGTAAATGGAATCTACCTGTAATTTATTTTCAAGACTGTTAAATAAATAGTCAGTATAAATACTTAGGTTTGTAGCTGCCGATCTTCCCCTCGCAAACCCATGCTGCTCTTCTATAAATAAATTTTTCACTGATAGATAATTTTTTATAATTTTCAATTTACCGAATAATCTTTTCTCCTTATTATTATTGTAGCAAATTAGTATTTTTCATAATTTTTATTTTTCCAAAAAACTGTTTATACCATTTTTAATTTTACATAATTACCATTTCTTATAATTTTTTTCTTCGAATTACCATTTTGTATAATAAATATTTTTTCGAACAATTATTGGTTCTAAAATTTAATTTATCAAATTTATATTTTTTCTATTTTTAAAAGTTACGATTTGCTATTTTATATAATTTTCATTTTACCGAATTACCATTTCACATAATTTCTAAATTTCCTAATTATTATTTTTCCGAATTTTAATTTTAACGAATTATTAATATTAGAATTATTTCTTTTGCGAATTACCATTTAACATAATTTTATTTTCCCTTAATATTTATTTATTCTAATCTCTATTTCTCGAATCGTTATTTGCTATAATTGGAATTTTACCGAATCTCTATTTGTCCTAACATACTTCTGGTCAATTACAGTACTGTAGTTTCCCATCTACATTAATTTCTGGAATTTTTGGGCCACTTTTTGTTACGCAACCTACCATACCGACAAACGATGGAATCTTCTTCTTCTTCTTCTTAAATGACTTTAGATGGGAAACTACAGTACTGTAATTGACCAGAAGTCCTGAGTAAGAAGACCTCGAGTAACAATTTTTGAGTTGGTTCAATGAGTTTAAAAATTTTTTGAAACGAGATGCATATGTGACGCGTTGCGAAGAAAGGGACCTTAGAAGCAAAAAACTGTAGGTTGTATTTTGTAATTTTAAAAGGAAAATACACAAAAAGGATTAAATTTTAATGCAAACCAATGATATTTAAGTCTTTTCTGTATTCAAAATAATCAATAAAACCTGATATTGATGTTGCAAAAACGAAAAGAAACTTTTAATCAAGGTAAAACCGGTAAAATTGTCGTAAACATAACCTATAATTCATTTCTTCTAAGGTACTTTTCTTCGCGACGCATCACATATTTGTTATTAAAAATGAAACTTTAATCGACAATATTGTTGCGCCAGTTTGATTTTTTAAAAATCTAGGTCACCATATCAAATCTTTTAATTCATACAGAAAGCAGTTATGTATAATTGAAGAAAAAAATTGTTTTTTTTGTTTTTTTTTGTTTCACTGAATATGAATGAAACAAATGTCAAAGTAATGTTTCACGTCCATACAAACCAAAGTAATCATAATTCAAGGATTTTTTTCTTAGAAAAGATAAAAAGAAATTTTTAAAATTAATTTGTAATAATCGCCGACTTTTCCCCCAACGTCGACTTTACCCCATTTTACGGTAGTTATAACAAATTTTTAAATTATTAAAAACTTTGTGTTTAAAAACTATTAAATTTAAAAAAATCTTAGATTTGATGCTTCAATTTCAAATTTTAAATTTCAATTGCATTTGAAGCATAATTATGTTTCACATTTACCAGCAGTAAATGTAACATAAATATTTTTTCATACAGTATACATTTTTTAAAAATAATTTGAAAAAAGGGTTTTAACACTCACATTTCTCTGAATAATTGACAAGAATAAGTCTGAATAAGAAATTGCATCTTCAAAAAAAGAAGTACTTGGTTTCCTTATTATATCACTAAGTATAGAATCAACGGATCTTATTGAAACTTTTACATTCCCAAAATCACGAAGAACTTGCATTTGTGAACTTGTAGCTTCCAGGTAAATTTTTCCACTAAAAATCTCGTCTTCTTCCTTTAAAAAATGAAATGATATAATAAAAATCGATTCAATTATTGTAAAAGCAGAATATTTTTAAACTTAAGTTCTTCATTTCTGCAGGATTACCTTAAAAGTAATATGTGACAACAACATATTCACTAGCCTTTTCGAAAACATCTCGAATGCTAAAGCATTTGACATTTCATCTTTACATTCTTTTAATTTTTTATCACAATTGCAATTTGAAGATTCTATGGTTTCTTTTAATGTTCTAATACTAGAACTAGTGCTAAACATTTCAGTAGAAATTCTATTAAAATGAAATATAAATGATGTAAAATAAAAGTTAATGCTTCATGTACGTTAATTAGGTACTATTAATCCCTACCGAAAAAAGACCATGATGCTCTTTGTGTTAAGCTTACCTAAGCTCCGAATTATTAGAATATAATCTCAGGTCTTTCAACCATTAATGGGCTTATAGATTTTAAACTCGAATTTTGAAATTTTTACAATTAAAATTTATAGTTTACAAATTTTTGAATCTAAAATGGTTCACAATTATAAAAATCAAAAGTTTATTACTTAAAACTGTAAATTAACTGTCCAACCTTTTGCGTTAAAAAGGATAGGATTTTTAAATTTTAATTCAAAAGTGTATCTAAAATACATAAAATAATCTGACCTTTTCACAGGTAAAAAGTGAGTACTGATTTGGTCCCTAGAGACCATATTCCTTTTTTCCAGTAGGGATAATATAATAAAAAGGTTAATATAAATGAAATAAACTGTACTTTTTTCCATCATTTATAGGTTTCTGCATTTCTTTTCGATGTCTGTTGTAATAAAAAGAGTGCGGATCTATAAGATTTTGATTTGATCTGAAACATAAAAAATTTATTAAAAGGCTTAAAAATTAAAGACATATGAAGAAAAACCCGCTGCTAAGTTATAGTACTCGCTCAATCAACCAGCATCTACTTTAAGATGATTTTTAGTACATTAAAGAAATATCAGACTATCGAATCTGCAGCATTTCCACCAAGGTAAAGAAATTCTTAATTCAGAAGCACATGCTATAGAATTCATAAACTATTATGTAAATTTCATATTAAACCTTTTTTATACTTTTGACAGAAATAGTATATTACTTCCGCTTAGATATATATTTACTTTGTGGTTATTTCATGAACACTTTGCTTACTCGTATACGGAAAGGTTTTTGGGAGAGTTGATTTACTTGTAAGAAGCAAGTCGATTCCCTTCTGTGAGAGGACTTTGGGAGTTCAGAGCAACCACAAGGAGAAGCAGCATACCCAAAATAGGGAGAAACGACCAAAAACTTTTCCCTGTAGATTACATAATAATAAATGATCGACAAATTTTAATAACGAAATATGTGTGTATTAAAATTTTGTCAAACCCTTGAGAATAGATATATATATATATATATATATATATATATATATATATATATATATATATATATATATATGGCGGTGCGTAATTGAGGGGCCGCATTCCATAAGGGGTTATAGATGTCCAAGACGTCGCAGAGTTGGGCCCTAAAATAAATTCAATGTAGAGATCGCAAATTTCAACCAATTTAAATTAATTTTATTAAAATTAAAGGTAAAGTAATCGACTACATATTAATGATCTTAAATTTGAAAAAAAATCTTGTTGTTTAAATATTTGATAAACAAAATAAAAAATAATTTTCATGAACTTTTAAAGAGTGATATTTTCCATAAACAGATAAAATTTCATTTTAAAAGTTCATAAATCACTTAAGCAACAAATAAAATGAACTTTTTTTGTAATATTACAGTAAAAAAACATTAATGTATTTGTTATAAACAAATAAGTTAATAAATTTTTGAAAGTCGATAAATCTATCTGAAATTAATTACTTGGGGGTTTTCGAGGTCGCTGATTACGAATATGACATTAGTTTTTCAAAATTCATAATAGCGGGTCCAAAATCCTATCTCGGGCGATAGCCAGTGTTTTATTGAACCTAAATGACTTTGATTTTTGTGTTTTGGATTATTCTTCTATCAATAGTCATCAACACATCTTTTTCCCATGATATTTTAATGGCGTGAAAGTAAATTAATAAATTTGTTCTAATAACTAAAAAAATTATTTTTCTAGAGTTTATGTATGTTATATTAAACTCAAAAAATTTAGATCAATTTATTCCATAGGGATAAAAAAAGTATAGGAAATAGCTTCATTTTGATACGTGAGGTGGTATAACCCTTTAATGTAAAACATAGATGCTAAAGAGATTAACAACAATATCTCAATTATTTTTTTTGGTTAAAAATATGTAATTACAAAGGACTTTTATGATTTTGGATATTTTTTACTAAATACGTCATTTTGAATTTTAAAAAACTAATATAATATTCGTAATCAGCGATCCTGAAAACCCCCAAGTACCAAGTTTGATGCGAATCCGACTAATTTAATAAAATTTTGGCCTCCATTTTGAAAAACAAATATCATATTCGTTATCAACGACCAGGAAAATCACCGAGTGACAAGTTTCAAGCGAATTTAAGCAAATTTAAAAAACTAGTCCGCTATTTTGAATTTTGAAAAACTAATGTCATATTCGTAATCAGCGACCTCGAAAACCTCCAAATAATTAATTTTAGCCAAATTCATCGACTTTTAAAAATTGATTAACTTATTTGTTTATAACAAATACATTAATGTTTTTTTACTGTAATATTACAAAAAAAGTTCATTTTATTTGTTTCTTAAGTGATTTATAAACTTTTAAAATGAAATTTTATCTGTTTATGAAAAATAGCACTCCCTAAAAGTTCATGAAAATTATTTTTCATTTTGTTAATTAAATATTTAAACAACAAAATATTTTTTTCCAAATTTAATATCATTAATATGTAGTCAATTACTTTACCTTTAATTGAAAAAAAAATTAATTTAAATTGGTGGAATGCGGCCCCTCAATTACTTTCTACATCGAAATTTACTTTGCGTAAAATGGTTAGCATTGCAAAAAAATTAGGTTGTCGGTTTTTTAATTTTTAAAACGTCAATAACTGCTTTTATTTGATCGCAAAAGGTTTGAAAACATCAGTTTAATATATGCATTGTCAAATACTGTTTAAGATGATTATGATAACATTAAAAGGATTGAAGGATGAATATGTCAGACAGGGGGATATAAAATAGTCAGAGTATTTTGACCAAAATTAATAAAAATATTTCTTTCGAATTTTAAAATAAAAAAATGTTTTTGCTCATAAATTTAAAAAATCTGTTGACACATAGATATTTTTTTTTCACTTTAAAGAGTTTTTAAAAACGCACCTTTTATTATTGACTTATTAGCGAACATTTTACTATTATTCTATCGAGAGTTATTGACATTTTAAAAATAAAAAATTATGAAAAACTTGCCTTTTTGCATTATTTGTTTAAAAAACTTTATTTAATTTTCAAATTATCATAACCAATTTATAGAATATTTGAAAACGTGATTCTTGGTGTTGTTTTGTTAATAAATTGACATGTAATATATTTGATCTATTTTATAGACTATGTCTGTGTAAGGAAGTGTTTATGAAATGAACACAATAAATTCATCCTTCAACTTGGCAGCAGTTATTAGGCATCTGTAGGCAACTTGACAATATAAAAAAGTGAATTTATAGAAAATTAAATTTAAAAATACGGAAGCGTTAAAAACAGCTCTTACGTGTTTTCGGATATATCTTGACATGATGCAGCTTTGCAATAAAGTGTAATGAGAATCAATTGTAACAGTGAATATAAACTCATTCGATTTCGAAAAATTTTCATTTTCATATATATCTACAAAATAGACCGGTCTCAACTTTATACGTTTTAAGTGCTCTCTATTTTTCTAGTTACTTAACCTCAAACATCTTAAAATACAGGTTGTCGTCATGGAGTATAGAGAACAGGAGTCCCAGTAGGTCGTACAGATATAAGGCCAACGCACAATAGCCTCGAAGGCAATGATGGGTTGTGACGCGTCACACGAAGTTTTGTACGTATAATACGTTTTCGACGTAATATACGTATAAAATGTATAAAACCATGTAGAAAACCACTGACATTTTGACATCTATATATGATCCTCTGATTTTTGCCATAACGAATTTTTCTTATCATTCTATTTAAATTAAAGGTGCTTATATACCTCAAATTTCGATCAGATGAACATTATTTCTGGACCGTGAAAATGCGTGAAAAGTCATTTTCGCGGCGGGTATTTTTGAATTGTTTTAAACAAAAAATGTTTTTTTAAGAAATATAATATTAAATAATTGTTTTAATATGTAAGAACACTTTAAAATAGTGATAGGAAGATGATTTGATTGAAAAATTTAGCAAATTTTGCTTTAAAACGTTTTCTGCTACAAGAAAGTGTAAAATGACGATGTTTGTGAAATGGTTTGTACAGTGCTTCTTCCTTGTTAGTGTCTCTCAGAGTTTTGTTTATGTTATGTCGGTTCTTTTTAACTTGTAATAAATAATGAGTGCTGAAAATAAATCGGTAAGTTGAAATGTTTATCAAATAAATTTAAATTCAACTAATTGTTTCGAATAACTGAAAGAAACATGTACACATGTACACTGTACAAACCATTTCACAAACATCGTCATTTTACACTTTCTTGTAGCAGAAACGTTTTAAAGCAAAATTTGCTAAATTTTTCAATCAAATCATCTTTTTATCACTATTTTAAAGTGTTCTTACATATTAAAACAATTATTTAATATTATATTTCTTAAAAAAACATTTTTTGTTTAAAACAATTCAAAAATACCCGCCGTGAAAATGACTTTTCACGCATTTTCACGGTCCAGAAATAATGTTCATCTGATCGAAATTTGAGGTATATAAGCACCTTAAAGTCTTAAAATAAAATAGAAATGATCAGAAAAAGTAAAAGAAAATCTTTTAAAGAGGGTTTGCCCTGGGAAAAAATGGAATTTGAGCGGATGAAAGAGCTAGGCACTGATAAAAATGTTGCTAAATGTTTAATTTGTCAAAACATTATGAAAAACACTGGCTATAAGCGTATTATTATTATTGTTTGTTATTGTTTATAAAGTTTTTATTTAAAAATTGTTTATTTTTGGAGATACCAAACGACTAGACTGACAATATAATACTTAGAATATAGGTTATGTTATTATGCACTTGGCCCGGTGTTCACTCTTATCTGTGAAACCAACTTAGAAATAAAACCGATATAAAAACATTTCAATAATTAAAAATTTTGTTTTATAATTGTTAAAATAATTAATAATTACCTAAATTTTGTTTATATTAACAACTTTCTCTTTCAATAGTGTAAAGTAATGAATGATGTATTTTAATGAAGAATTTAAAATTGCCGCTCTTAAATCACGTGATCAAATGTAATATACATCGTGTAGAAAACTCCTTTTCTAACGCATTCATCACGTCGCGAAGCTATTGTGCGTTGGCCCATATTTTGACGTCTTTGAAAAATGGGTGCCTAACCTAAAAATATGAAGCTTCAAAATTAAATGTAACCTTGAAGTGAAATAAAAATATAATTCCATTCTTAATAATTATTTTTATTTACAATGGATAGAAATGAAGAAGACTGGTCAGTGGATTGTTCTGACGACGAAAAATATGAGGTTGATTTGAAAGTATGTTATTTATTGTCGTGGACAATGATTAATTCATATCCAAATGTTCTTAACAATGCTTTTAATGTGCAGGGTGAATGGATTCTTAAGCCAGATGATATAATGAATTTGATAGAAGGAATTGAGGCAAATAATAGAATTTTGGAGATTGAGTGGAAATGTCCAGGTAGACGTGGACTTTCTCCAGCACCTTTGAGTAATCATCAACAGGATCCTAATCTTCAAGAATATAAGTAAGTTAATTTTAGGTTCTATGCGATTCTTAGCAATTTTATTTTATAAAAAGTATAGATATTTTCGACCTACTTTACCCCTCTATTTTAGAGTGTAGATTACAGGAAATATATATAGCACAAAAATCGATCTAGATGTCTGCGAATTGTATACATGTGTATTTTCACGTGTAGGTTACAGAAAAAATATAGCGAACCAGATTATAATTAATGGACGTAGAGTTTATCAAGAAAAAACTCAAATTTTTGAAAAAAGTGTATTCACAATTTGTCCTAGGGAACCAAGTTTTGACGAAAATTTGTATACATATATGTATTTTATTTTTTGCTCAGTACAGAAAATTCTGTACGAAGCTCGTAAATTTCAGTTCTGTATAAAATAGTTTCTACACTCCGCGGTCTGTACAAAAATGATCCCGTTCAGAAATCGTGATGTGGGCCTCATGAGGTACTTACCAGTTTTCCCGACCTCTGGTAAGGGCCTTGTCGGAAAAACTGATCAGAACCTCACAAGGGTGTAATGCTTTTCCTCGCCAATGCACTATGTAAGGAAAACTGGTGAGGGTCTTATCATATGAATACCCTATTTTTTAATATTATATACTATTTAAATTTGTAAATCTAAAAATATATTTTTTTGTTTTTTAATATAACTCGTAAATACTGCTTATTGATGAAACATAAATTTATTTTTTAGAACGATTTTAGATTTATATTTATATAAATTTATATAAACCCTAAAATAAAGAAAAATCTAAAATTCTTCTAAAACGATTTTATTTGATTTTCTTTTGTTTAAACACTTTATAAAAAAAAAACTTTAAAAAACTTAATTTCTTCACATTTTCTTCAAACAGGGATAATTGATGAGGCCCATACCAATGCCTTACTTTAAATAGGACAAAGTCGGGTAATTTCTGCACGGTAATTTTTTTTAAGACGCAATTTTGACCTATTAATGGCTTCGTCCACAAATTACGTAACAAATTTTAGGGGGGGAAGAGGTTTAGTAAAATGTGACTAATTGTGACATAGAGGGGAGGAAGTGACTTCTTATTTTCCCAATCAGCACGAAAACTTGTAACAAACTTGAAAGAAGCTTTCCGTGCAAGATGTGTATGATTGCAGTGAAAACATGTAGCAACTTTGGTGCAAGCAACAAAATGTCCTCTTGTGGCAAGCTTGATGGGCAACGTGGGCGCAAGCTTGCTGCAAGTTTGCAAAACTTAATACGATGCGCAGTTGAAAACGGAAGCTCTTACAGCTGCGCAATAAATTTGTTAACCTCCAAAGGGGTCGTTCACAAAATACGTAACGCTTCCAAGGGGGAGAGGGGGTCAAGCTATTTGTTACGAACAGCCAAAAAAATGGCGCTAATGTATGTAATTAAGCGTTACATGAGGGGAGGAAGAGGGGTGAAATTTCCCAAAAAAGCGTTACGTATTTTGTGAACAGTCCCAAAGCAGGGTGCTCTTTATGTTTATTTAGTAAAAAATTGTTTTGAAAAAAACTTTTTTTTAGTATTATAGAAGCTTGTAGCAAGCCTTTTGCAAGTTTGCTGCAAGCTTGCTTAACTACCTTGCCACAAGAGGACATTTTGTTGCATGCACTAAACTTGATACATGTTTGCACTGCAAACTTGCACGACAAACTTCCTACAAGTTTGCTGTAAGTTTTCGTGCTGATTGGGTTGTTATGTCACACTTACAGTATGCAGGGTGATTTTTATGTTCAGGACCCACTAATTTTTATTAATTTCATTATTTTTGTCAGACATTTTGGTTTTTATTTTTCTTTTTATGGTGTTAATTAAAGAAAGGCGAAAATAGAAAATGGTTATCAGAAGCAGGTAAACACCAACGTATTGAAACCGCTGCCAAGTTGAAGTATAAACTTTTTGTGTTCATGAAATTAACATTTGGCTTCCCCATAGAAATTTTTTGTGATCAATTTATGCTAACTTATTTAGTATTATAATAATTTTAAAAAGGTGTTAAGTGTTGTATTTTTTGGGCGTTTGCAAAGATAGATTTTTAACACCAATAAATAAATAATGAAAGGTTTAATAATAGGTCAATTGATTCGTTTTTAAATATTCTTCAAGTTGTTCATAATATTTTTAAAGATACACGGAGAGAAAAATCATTGCTTTTTCCTATGGAAGACCATGCGTTAAACGAATGAAATTTTCCACGCGATATAGGCATGAGATTCATGGAATCTTCATGGAATACCATGAATTCATACGTTTTTCGGGTGAGAGTATCCATGGTAATTAACCATGATAAACATGCGATTTTTCTATCAACATCATGGTTTAAACGCATGATGTCACAAGAAAATCCCATGAAAAGTTTCACGGTACAATTGCCAGGGTTGCCAGAGTTTCAACGCGCCTAACCGCGGATAGACGGCACTGACGTAGCCCAAAAACCGCGGGAAGCTTCAAATATTTACAAATTTATAAAAAAAATTTTTTTTAATAACAATTTTATATATAAATATATGAAAAAATAGATGTAAGACTAATTTAAAAGTTACTTTTTTATTTCTTTTTATTATTATGCTAATAAAATGTTTATTTTTATATATTAAATAACTTTAATATACAGGTATCGCAGGTATTAAAATTTTTCAATAAAAACTGAAACAACATTTTAACATGAACAGTAACGTAAATTTAAAAAAACGTAGCACTGGCAACCGATGAACACTTTTCGAAGTGATTTTCAAACAAATCCATTAAATTTCTATACTCTTCTTCCATTTCTGTATCGTCAATCACTTGTTTACTGATAATCAAACTTGCCGCTTAGAATACTTTGAACACATAAACACATAAACTGCTTTTACATGAACATAACCAGCATTATAGCCAACGGATCCACGTGCGTACAATACAACGTAAAGGACACAAAGAGATACCGACAGCGCACACGCCAATATCCTACAGAAATAGTATTAGTTATGTCCACTACAAGGCGCCAATTGACAGTTTTCATACTTTTAATGATTTACTATTCGATTTTCTAGTATTGTTAAAAAAAATGTCCTAATAGCCCAAAAAAGCAATTTTATAAGAAAAAATAGCCCAAATTGCTACTTGTAGCGAAACTGAAATTTAAGCCGCGAAACATTCCCAAAAAATAGCCCAAATCGCGCTTTGTAGCCCAATCTAATCTGGCAACCCTGACAATTGCATGAGAGTCACCGGATTTCCCGGTGAAACTTTTGCAACGAGCGATTAGGCCACGCCTACTGTTTGTTTGGAGAGGGCACCTCTCGGCATTCAAATATGTATAACATGTTTTTCTTAAATTAAAAATTTTACACATTTTATTTTTTTATAATTATTATGTTCGATAAATAATAAATTGTATCCAAATAAAATATATAGAACTAATATATTTACAATAAATTACTTATTTTTCTTCAAAAATTTTTTTAATAAAAAAAAATTTTTAAGACAAATAAGTTGAAAAAAATTTATTCTCAAATAGAAATATTTTTGAAATACTAAATAATTTTACAATTATTAAATAAAAATTAAAACCAAAATAAATTAATAATTAACAAACTAAGCAAATACTGGACTTAAATTCATTACAAAACAATTTAAAATAACTAAGATTATAATTAAAATAATTTTAATAATAAAATACAGTCTCACTTGAGACAATTTGAAAAATATATTCATTCAATAATCGAAGAATCGAAATCTATCCTAAAGCCTATGTGAGCAGGTAGGCGTGGCCTAATAACTCGTTGCAAGAGTTTTACCAGGAAATCCGGTGAGGCTCATGGGATTGTACCGTGAAACTTTTCGGGACGCATGATTATGTTCTAAAAATCATTAGTCATAATTTACATTTTATCGAATTTTATTTGTCCTAATTATTTTTGAGCCGAATTTTTATTTGTTCGAATTAGTATTTTGCATAATTTTCATCAATCCGATTTTCTACAGGGTGTTCCAAAAGTATGGAAACTTGCAAATATCTCGAAAAGTACGAATTTTTGTAAAAAATGTTCAAGACAAAAGTTGTTCCAAACAAAAAGATGTACATCTTTGAAACAAAAAAATTGGGCCCGGAGCCCAATGTTTGGTCCTACAATGAAAAAAGTGGTTTTCTTAAATGAGACCACTAATTTTTAGTGTCAAATTCGTAATCCCCATGAAATTCTGCGTTCAGACATGTGGTATAAGTGCCCAAAATATTGGGCCCAATCCAAGATATTGGGTCCAAAATTTATCAACAGATAAATAAATTTTAAAAAATCGCATCTTGGAGGGATTTTGAGATCACAGGATTAAAAATAGGAAGGTAATTTTCAAATTGGGCATAGAGCCCCCAAACTTCTGTTTCTTAGTAGAAATCTATAAGAAACTGTATGACGAGTGCATACACACTCACACACAGTAGCAATGTTTGCGATGCACAATGGGTAACTGCGCATCAAAGTCAATTCCGAGTTCCGTAATTTTTCAGGATCAAATCATGAAGTCTTCCATAACGACCAAACTGAAAAGTTAAGAATGTAAATAAAAATATTTACTCGAACTTTTATAAGATCTTGTGAACTTTTCAGAAGAAACTACTAAATTTATTCAGAGAAAGTAATGAAAAAAAGTACTGAATTATTTTGAGATTTTCATGAATTTTTTCGGACTTTCAACTGAACATTCATGAATATCTTTGATTTTTTCCCTCGTATCCAGAGTTACTGAATTATTTCAGGACTTTTTCTTGAACTTTTTCTTTCCGTGTAACATTTTTTTAAAGTTATGGGCAAAAAACGATTTTTCAAAAATTTTAAAATGCCAAAAAATAATAGTTAATCTTTATTATTATGGCTCAAAGTACTCTTCATTATTTTGTATGATTTTTAAGTCTGTTTTCTTTATAATGCGAGACAAAATACTAAAACAGTTTGAGTTTGATGCATTGAGTCTTTATATGCATTGAGCGATAACTTTTTTTATCTTGCTGCCAATTGTCAAGATAAAAGCTTAGCAATTCTCAAAACCTCTTGTAGGTGATCTGAGGTTAAAATATTGACGTTGAACTTAATTTTAAAACTGTAAATTAAGCTCCAAAACCTCTTGTCCCCATTTACCCCAACTGACCCTATTTAATAATTTTTATTTTATAAAATAAATTAAAGTGTAGTTTAATAATTTTTTTTTGTAATTTACAATTTTAAAAGTTTATTTGAATAAACTTTTAATTATTATAGATTATATGACAATTAAATTAATTATTATAATGTGAATATTCAAATTTTTCATTGAAAATATTTAAAAACGAATCAGTTGACCTATTATTTATTGAACCTTTTATTATAAAATATTACCAAGTTATTGCTGTTAAAAATCTATTTCTGCAAACGCCCAAAAAATATAACTCAACACCTTTTTAAAATTATTATAATATTAAATATGTTACCATAAATTGATCACAAAAAATCTTCATGAAGAAGCAAAGTGTTCGTGAAATAAACACAAAAAGTACATACTGTAACTTGGCAGCGGTTTTTAAAAATTTTCTTATATTGTGAATTATTTGCAAGTGGGAGTCTTTTCAAAATATGCAGAATGCCTCATAAACATAAACAAATTTACATTAAAATTATGAAAATTAATTTTATTTTAGACCCGATGTAAAATCTGACTTTGATTTCATGGATGAAATGGCATCTCCTCGTCTTCCTGTTCGACGAGTGGGAGAAAGTACACCAAAAGGTAGTGCGAAAAAAAAAACTGCGAGTTTCAATGGTGTTTTATCGACTATGCTACGTCATCGTCGATTGGAGCAACAAGAAATAAATTCAAGTCCCGCAAAAAGTGAGCCAACTTCGCCTGGAATAAAAATGCAATCAAACACATGAAGTTTTTCTCTTCAAAGAAACGAAGAAGATGCATAATTGTCGAGAAACCTATATTTTTATTTTTTTCATGAACTCGGAAAAACATGAACAAAAATAAAATCATTAAAACTTGTAAACAATTTAGCCTGGATATTGAAAAGGCAGAACTCCATGTGATGCTTTAAGCCACATAAAAAGTTGTTTCCATAGTTTTTCTTTGAATAAATAAAAAACTATAAAGAGGGAGTATAGTGAATCTAAAAATAATTAAGATTCAGTTTAGTTGCAAAATTATGATTTTTATAATAGAATAGTTTTTTATTTGTATAAATGTACAGATTTCTTTATCACTCATATATATTATGAGTTTGCTAAAAATATAGAATTAAATAAATTTTACTATAAATTTCATTAACTTTTTAATCTAATATCCCCCATTCTAACGTGTTCAAGGTTCTTATAAGCAACACTTCGGAACTGTCAAACTCTGATTTTTCTGATTCTTTGCATACAAGTAGTTTATTGAAAAATATTTGGCACATGGTTATTTATATCAGCCCAAAAACGGTTTTAGGGGTAGAAACCACCCTTAACCAATTTTGAGGGTGAGTTTGATTATTATACAAATTATTTGAGAGATTTAGGTAAAACCGAGTTTCTGAGGTTGATGATTACAAATATTAAGTCGGTTTAAAAAAATTCAAATTAGGCGGATCCAATATTTGACAGAATTCTTATTAAATAAATCATTTATTCGTTCATAATCATCCCTCATAAATATCCACCATTTAAGATTTTTAAAAACTGATTCCAGATTCGTTATTAACGACCTCGTAAACCCCTTGATATAAAATTTAAAAATTTATTAAGAAGATTAATAATTCTTTTAAAATGTGTCCGCCATTTTTAATTTTTAAAAACTGATTTTAGATTGGTGATCAGTGACCTCATAAACCCCTTGATACAAAGTTTCATAGAATTTCAACATATTTTTAAAAAATTACAAATTTCTTCAAAATTAATCCGCCTATTTAAATATTTTAAAACCGACTTCATATTTACATCATTACTGAACTCTATATATCTGGAATGCTGTCTGCCATTGATGGTCGCGAATCGAGAGAGAGGTCTGATTCCTGTATCCCTCTCCTTCTCTTGCTAACTGCGCAGACGTAGTACAATACGTTCTAAGAGTTTACTGTTAACCGTGTTATGTCATGTTCAAGGTGCTTTTATACCTCAAATTTCGACCAGATGAACATTATTTCTGGACCGTGAAAATGCGTGAAAAGTCATTTTCACGGCGGGTATTTTTGAATTGTTTTAAACAAAAAAATGTTGTTGCTTCTTCCTTGTGAGCAAACAAAACTTTGAGAGACACTCACAAGGAAGAAGCACTGTACAAACCATTTCACAAACATCGTCATTTTACACTTTCTTGTAGCAAAAAACGTTTTAAAGCAAAATTTTTCAATCAAATCATCTTTCTATAACTATTTTAAAGTGTTCTTACATATTAAAACAATTATTTAATATTATATTTTTTAAAACAACATTTTTTGTTTAAATAAATCAAATATACCCGCCGTGAAAATGACTTTTCACGCATTTTCACGGTCCAGAAATAATGTTCATCTGATCGAAATTTGAGGTATAAAAGCACCTTCATACGGAAGCCTGTACATCTCACGAGCGTCTCGGACGCAAGTGGCGGTGTTTCGTACCACAAGTGGCACGAAGTCCGTCCAACTTGTGGCAAGTTCGTTAGTTCGTGCCACTTGTTGGACAGACTCCGTGCCACTTGTGGAAAGTGGATTTCTTGAAGGGTCATTCACAAATATGACAATTCCGTTGTATTCTGTTGCCGTCTATTTCGTCAGTGCTTTTAATTTCAATTTCATGTGAAGAAGAAGAAATGAATTTTATAAGATATTAGTAATATTAGCATATTAGTAAATGTCATCGAACAAACTTTTTATAGTTCACACATAAATACTCCTTCCAAACGTTAATATACATATTAATAAACTAAGGATTCCACTAAGAATTAAGCTGAAGTTTTTTCTTAGTTTTTTTAATTTTTCTTAGTTTTAAAAAAATAAGATTTTTTGGTTATGTTGTCATTTTTTAATTTAAAATACATGAAGAGGATTTTATTTTTTAAAATCAAAAGTATAGTTTTATGAATATTTAAGATTAATAAAGATGTCAATATCATTTGTTTACACTGAAATGTAATCTTTTACATGTATTTTCAATTAAAAAATAACAAATTCATTTTTATTTATAAACAGTAAACGGACTTGCTCGGATGAAATTATACTTGAAATGAAAAGCATTGACGAAATAGACGGAAACAGAATCCAACGGAATTGTCATAGTTGTGAATGACCCTTCAAAAAATCCACTTTCCACAAGTGGCACGGAGTCTGTCCAATAAGTGGCACGAACTAACGAACTTACCACAAGTTGGACGGACTTCGTGCCACTTGTGGTACGAAACACCGCCACTTGCGTCCGAGACGCTCGTGAGATGTACAGGCTTCCGTAGACAGCATTCCAGATAGACTGAGGCGCTTGCATACCTCCGGCTGCCTGCACAGATAGCCTCCCACCACGCTAAAAACGTATAAGAGGAAGGGAGACAGAAAATTCAAATTTAAATCTACAGATTCTCTGATTGGCTCTTGCTGGCTGCCTGTGCAGGCAACCGGAGGCGTGCAAGCGCCTTTAAGGAGCTTCTACAATAGCTCCGTTTGGCAACTCCAAGTCCAAGTCGGTTGGAGTTGGTTGCGCACGCATGGTGTTGCCAACTGTCGTCGAGTTGAAAATGAAAAAAAAAATTGTGCGTGATCTCGTGCTTATTAATGTCAAGAGAACCAATAATTTTTTTAATTTTGAATAATATAATAAATATTTAATAAGATTCAATTATTTACATTCAAAAAAGGTAAATTATAATAGATTCCTGGAATAAAGAATGAAATATTGGTTTTTAATTAAATATTTCTGAAAAATATTTCTTGCTTTTTGCTGAGCATCAATACATTAGATTTAATTACAATAATAATAAAAAATGCTATAGCTAGTTGCAAATATCAAAGAAGTTCGGCGCAAATATTTAAGAAAATTGGTAAGAAATGAAGATTCATCGAGAGGTTATTTTTTCTGTATTTATACCTCCATTCAATATATCCACCCAGATTTAAATCATTTAGTAAATCTTCGACTCTCTTTTCCATTTTGGTCTTTCGATTTATAACACAACACTATTATGACATACGAAAATTGACAGTTTCAAAAAACAAAAGCGCAAATGTCAAACAGGAAAAAAATGTAATCGATATCATGTATTTACTTTTCCTTTTTTCAAATATACTAAATTTAAACAGGAAAATCGTAATTGAAGAGGAAAATGCAAAAGTACTCCTTTTGTCATTGTTCCATTACAACAAAGAATAAAAATATTCTACAGTCAAATGGAATATTCGTATTTTAAGAGGAAATATTCAGAGGATTTTAGAAGAGGAATTTTCCTCTAAATTTAAGATTACTTTTTTTTGGGTGAGAGAATGCAGGTAATTTTCAAAGTTTAATATTTTATGAATGAATTTTTTCGTCTAAAATTCATTGAATATAATTACTATATGTGATAATTCTTTAAAAAGTTAATTTCTTCATGCGTTGCCATAATATTTTTGTAATCCAATTTCCTGAATTCTCCATTTTTCCATGTAAATAATAACTTTTTCCCTGACATACAGATTTCTTATTAGAAGAAAAAAAAAACATTTAAGACTCTACAAACATTTTAAACACTATAATCTAAATACTCTAATCTGAATTTAATTCTGAAAATTACATTAGAATAATATAGTAAAATAATCTGTTAATGAGAATAATGTAATCTTAAGTTAAATTATTTTTAAAAATCGTATTTAATTAAAAATATAATAAATATGTCAACGCACGTTTTCCATTATTTTTCAAATATTTTTAAATTTAATTATTCCATTTTATGATTACGCTCTTCTCATGTGATAAAATGTAAAAATATTGTAAAGTTATGTTCATGAAAATACCTTTTTAATATATTGTGAAATCAAAATGATGAAAAACTTTTATTATAATGTCAATAAAAAACATAAAAAAAAATTTGTATTGACAGTTCATCTTATTAATTGTATATTTTTTTATTACTATATTTATATATTACAAATATTAAATTCATTGCATGTGTGTATTATTCAGGGAAAAAAATTTTGTTATTTATAAAAGAAAAATTTAATTTAATTTATATTTTTCTTCTCTTTAAAAAACGATGAGACGGCGGAAACATCAACATCAACAGCAACAACAACAAATATTTTATTAAACTTTACAGCGTGTTTACAGCTTCAAAGGTACATAACCTCAACTATTTCGTGAGCACGAGATCACGCACAATTTTTTTTTTCATTTTCAACTCGACGACAGTTGGCAACACCATGCGTGCTCAACCAACTCCAACCGACTTGGACTTGGACTTGCCAAACGGAGCTATTGTAGAAGCTCCTTTAGAGTTCAGTGGTAATTATCGATAGTGTTCTAAAATTCTCAGTAAAATAAAAATCGGAGAAGGTAAGAAAGAAGATTGAGGTAAATTACCGGTAACAAGAGAATTAATGAGAATATTTATTTAAATGATTCGAAATTGGCTTTTTTAATTTAAAAATGTTTATTATATGAAATTTTATAATTTATTACTCATGATATAATTACAATAATAAATATAATAGACTACTCTAATTTTTTTTGTTTTCATTGACAAGATTATTTACCACATTATCACATCCCATTTTTCCTTGCAACCCACATCCCTGGCGGATTGGGAAAACCGAGTTGTAACCGAATTGGGTTACAATTCGGTTACGTTTCGGTTCATTGTGAAATATTATCATTAATCGACGAAATATGTAGTAAATAACTATTAGGAATGGTTAATATACATTTAGAGTGCTTATTTATGCAATAATAATAATAATAAATTAAAATATAATTAATTAATAATAAGTGTTTTAAGTGTACGGTGCATACAGTTGTTAAATTACCATATATATGTATATTACCATCAGCGGCAGCTGTGATACGCGCGTTAAACCCTAGATGGCGTTAAGGATGACTTTGTGAATGAATTTCTAAAATTAAGCCCTTGAGTGTCAAATGTGTAAGTGAATATATATGTTTTAAAAAAATAGATCAATTTATTAAAACAACTTTTTTGATTTGTACAAATATAAGAAAAAAATTTTTATAACTAACAAAAATTTTTTTAATGAGATAAAGTTTTTTTTGTGTCAAAATTAATCTTTCTCATTTCATTGAGAAAAAAATTTTTTTTATTTAGAAAAAAAATTTTTTTAGGGAAAAAA